GGGGCTGTCGGAAGAGGTGACCTCCCTGTACCACTGAAGCTCATGAATAATACAGTTTCCTCACATGCGTGAATGATGTAATGGGTTAAGTCTGCCTCTGATTTGGTGATCATCTTTGCGCCATGTGGTCAGACGCTGGTTACGGTAACGATAATAGGATCATCTGGTTTTGGGGGAAAATATAAGAGTGAGTATTGAAAATCGGATTCCACAATGAGAGAAAATGCCTCTGATGCAAAGCTCGATGCACATTAACAGTGAAGGCAGGTGGAGGAGAGCGCTTATTTGAATTAAAGGGAGGGGACAGCATCCTCCCCCGTTGTTCTCGCTGCCGGTGTAACGCGTGCGTAAAGTTGCTAGGTTGGGCCACACTCCGGCTGTGTTTCTGGACCGGACCATTTGCGTGCGTGCTCTAGTGTGAGTTTGGAAGTGGTTTGGACCGCGGAGTGGTGCCACTGCTTAGTGCAAGGTGCCACACGTATCTCTGTCAGTCTGTCAGGCGAACACCACGCGTCCAGGCGAGGTGGAGAAGAAAAAAAAAGGAGGGGGTGCAAGAAAGGAAGACAGACAATGCGGTTTTGCGATGCGTTTATTCCTTTGTGCAATCCACTCCCACTTCGATGAAAAGATGATGTGTACAACATGAATTTCTTGTGATTTGTCCATTTTTCCCTGTATTTTTGCGATCACGCTGACTGAATTTACCTGCATTTTCACTGAGCCAAACCTAGAGATGAAATTTCCAATAGAAAACCCGAGAAAACAAGTTAACTGGGATCCAGAACAAGGTTGGTGAATATTGCTGTTTTACTGTGGAATAACTTCAGATATGCAATTAAATAGTACTCTTAATGTCAGTAGCCTAAACATCTGAATGGAAATACTTGATACACAATCTCATCAGGCTGCATTATTCACAGACTCAGTATACAGAAATTCATATTTATGCTTCTTTTCATTTAATTGAGCGGTCCCTTTATTTGCTTTTGTGATGCAAAATTACCATTCATATACGACAACGCGGCTTTTCTAGTCTGCACTATCTGTCCGCTCAGACGTATAAAGCAACGCTGCTGGATGTGGAGCTCTGGTAGTGACAGGCTGGCAGAAATAACCAGTGTGAGAGCGGAAGAGATTTCAAAAGAGACTAGGCTGTAAAATGTGTCTACTTAAAAATAATGTCGCCATCTAAAAGACATCATTATACTTAGGAATATAATTTCTAAGAATTTCAGACATGCGATTTTTATTTGAAGAGAAATGTTGTTGTTGTTTTAAATAATATCATGACTCATGTACCCCTTGCCCTTTCAAAAGCATGTAAGAGTCGTGCTAAGTCTCCAGTCACTGCTGGAAAGGAATTCTGCTTTAATACACTATGCATGGATATCGTGTTGAGGATGCTGTTTGCGCCTCCCTTAACAGAGGTTTTATTTTGAAATCAGTCACTGCCGGAAGTGTTTGATGTGCACTGGGATTGATTTAATGTTTGAAATTTGAGGCTCAGCTGCCGAATTAAACGCCTACAACCTGCCCAGTGCCACAGGGCCTAAGGCTTGCCTGAGCCTTTATGTTTAATACCACTAGACTTCTTTTTGTACACTTAACTGTACATCAGATGTAAATATGATAGACACTATCATCAAACTCCTCATCTGTATCCACATGCTCTGTTTGTCCATCTTTGTGGTCGACATGAGGGGCATCACTACATGAGAACATTTCCTCTGCTTTGGCCAGACATACTTGGATCCAAAGGGTGAGGGCTGAGAGGTTGAGATCAGATAAAAAAAAGAAAAAACACCACTTTCCACTCAAGCCTTATTTAATTTGCAAAAATCAATTCGAAGCTGTTGCATGGTTCAAAAAGGATTTTGCATTAATGGATCATAGCCTCAGAAAGGTGAAATGCAAACCTTATAGTGCTCACTGCACTTTTGGTTTCAACTCTAGCTGTAAAATATAGATTATAGTTTCATATTCTCTGCTTTTTCTCAGAAGTGCATGAAGTTGACTTTGAAATGAACCAAATAAACTAAATATATGACATTCAGTCATAGTTCATTTATTTAATTTCACGCAGTCAAACACTGTGATAAAAGGTAATTAAAATCTTAGTTAGATTAGTCATGGACTTGGCCTAGTTTGAAATTCACTAACCAGTAACTGTTCCACTTCATCTCTAAAAAAAACATTGCACCAAATATAGCATACGATACTGAGTCTTCCAGCTGATTCACCACCCAGTCTTTTTTTTTCTAATAGATTTGTGCTCTATTGCAGTCAGCACCTTTAAAGACAGATACTGTAAACCGAAAGTGTTTTTCTCCACCTTAAGCTGACATCACATTGGTGTTATTGATTCAGTCTTTTATATAAGAATTGACTCGGAAGATGAATAGCTCTTAGATCAGGGAACAAGCCACTTCCTGGACATTCTTTGACTCATGGGTCGATGTGTGTGTGTGTGTGTGTGTGCGAGTGCATGGTCATGCTGTGGGGACCTGAATCTGTTTAAACACTCACACTACGGGAACAGAAAGCAAGTCCCTAGGGATGAGAAATGTATTTGTTTTGTTTAATGGGGTGATATTACTTTTGGGATATGCTAAGTACAATGCACACATGCTTAATCAAGTATTTATGACTTTAGAGGAGGGGAAATGTATTTCTTTAATATTTCCTGGAGACTTATTCCATCTTGCCTAAACCTCAACTTAACACATACCTTCAAAGGTTACATCACAGACAACAAGCTCCACCCATGGCTCAGAGGCACTCCATGCTTTCCCTTTTTAGAGTTGTGGGGGCGTCAGGGCAGGGGTGAAGTCTAGAGCTCTGAAAAAGCTCACGCAGTGCTTTATATACATTAAGGACGTCGAAATTTGGCTATCTCCATAGGTGTTGTTTGATGGTTGACCTGCTACAGTACACATGCATTTATTATGAAACCTCTTTCGAAGACAATAACTGAAAGTGACACTTATCCCTCACTTACAGTCTATTAGAAAAATTGGATCCTGCTTCCATTCAAAGAGAGTAACTCAATTTTCACCTTCACCTCTGCCAACATTACTGTAAGGTTTTCATTGGTGTGCTTTTTATATATCTGTGTTAGCTTCAGGCAGTCAGTCCATCCATCCATCCATCCATCCATCCATGTGTTGTAACAGAGCAGGGTTGAAATCAGATGTTAAAATAAGAGTACAAATTATGATCGGTAAGGCAGATGTGAGGCCAAGTGATTGTGGACTCCTTTTCACAAGTGAAATCTGAAATACATTTTACATGAAGAAATTCTCAGGATAACAAGCTGCTGAGATGACAAAGGAGTCTTGCTATGTTTGGCGGAGCTGTAGGCTGGATAAATAGATTTCTTTTCTAATAGTGTTTGACTTTGCAAAAAGCCTTTTATTAGCCCAGTGTAGGAGGTATAAAATGTTTTCAAAGCTTCATAAAGGACACATAGTTTTAAACAGTTGTAATGCAATTATGTTAATGTCTCCACAACACAAAATTCGAAATATAAACCAAAAGAAAGGCTGAAGGTGAGAGAAAAGGTGAAAATAAGAAAAAGAATCTGCGAACAAATCAACAATTGAAATGTCCAAATGCCTGTTGATTTAGGTAAAAGGTTCTTACAAAAAGAGCCTTTAGCCAATTATTATAACACATCATAAATGACCATCAGAGAGACAAACGTGCAGTAAACTGGTGTTTCCATCTTTGTAATCTATATTAAAAAAAAAAAAAAGTGTTACAGCAGCCCTTTCTTCCCTCCTACTTTCTTTGCTAGTGGCAGTCCAGACCAACTTGGTCCCTCCCAAAAAGGTCCAGCCTGGCATGGTGAAGTCAACCCTGGTCCAGGCAAGTGTTGCCACCATGCAAAACCCAATGGGCTGCGACCCGAAAGCCAGTGGTCACTGTCCACTGCCACGTCTGTCCATCTCATCTCGCTCTGCCAGTGTTGTGGCTAGCATGGACACCAACTCTGATGGCTCGACAGCAGGGCCCCACACAGTGATGAAGTGGAAGACGGTGCTGGCGGTGTTCATTGTGGTTGTTCTCTACCTGGTTTGTGGAGGTCTTGCCTTCAGGGCTCTGGAGCAGCCATTTGAGAGCAACCTGAAAACTAGCATCACCCTGGAGAAGGCCTCTTTCCTCGAAAGACACCCATGTGTTACTCCCAGTGAGCTGGACGCCATCATCAAGGTAAGCGCTTGAAAGTGGACATGATTGTCTGGTGTTTGTTTCCTTCTTCCAGGCATTTTGGCAGCTTCTGTGCACTTTATTATAGTACAGAGCAATTAGGTAGAGGTAAAAGGATGGGAAGCTGGCGCTATTCCCAGTTGTCGTAGAGCAGGAGGCAGGGTCCCCTGGATGGGAGCAGAGTTTAAAAGGATGGCAAAGCATGCCATCCTTTACGGTGGGCCTATCTTGTGGTTAAGAAGTAGCTACGATAAGACTGCACAGTGCTCCTTTCTGTCAAATAAAAGGAATGTGGAAGTGCCAAAAACTGCAGTTACTATAATGGCCTCTTAAAGTTGGCTCCAAAAGTCAATCCTCACAGACTCCCATGGTAAAATGCCCAACTTTACAGCATTAAAGAACACATTTATAGCTTGGCACAAAAATAGTTTTGACCTCTGTGGATAATTTCCCTCTTAATAAAAACTACAGTGGGTGAACTCCTTCATTTTTGCACTAAAGTAAGGGATTTGGAGCCACTGAATTTTATACAATTTAAAAATTGTTTGTGCTCTCAGGGCTTTTTGAGGCACTTTTAATCGAATTATATGGCTGCTGCTTGCTACAGCCTGACCAAGACATTTGTTCTGCCCTTCCCATTGAATGGCGGTTTCCTGAGTAACAGCTGATAACTGATAACAATCAACCTTCCCGTAGAAACCTAAATGCATTTAATTTTCTAATAAACACATATACCAGCACATGCAGCCTGATATTACGTAACAAAAGACAGCATGATCATTGAGAAGAGGGCAAAAAATGTCTTCACAATGACCTTTATGCTATATTCACAACAAACATTTTTTTTTATTTAATTGCAGCTCTCTCTAGATTTCTTGCTGTGTAAAGACAGTAATGATAGCAATAAGGCCCATTTTCTCCCATTTTATTTGACAAATAACTAACTTGTATTTGAATAGCTAAAAAACCTTCAATAATAGATGTATTAGTGCGGTATGAAATTCCAGAGTGCAGCTTTAACAACGCCCACATGTTTTAAATAAGGAAACAAGCTCATGGCTGTGACAGCGCTGTTATATTTACTGTGAGAAATGCCAGGAACCAAGTTTTTTTTTCAATGTTTTCTTTTTAATACTGTGGTGATGTTGCTCTATTATGACATACAAAAATTGTTAAAATCTTTAAAGACCCAAGAGAGATTTCAGAAACTCAATATTCTAAACAGTCTCCACAAAATCCCGTCACTATCTGCTTTCCCCCCTCAATACAGCATCTGCTGTATAGAAGCAGGGTGCCGGTGTTTTAACGGGCACAGCTGTTCGCCCAAAAAACTCGTCTGATAACTCTTAAACCATATGGTCTGACGCCGTCTTTAGAGTGTTCCACATTTTACCAAGCCAGCTTGTGAAACTTTTTGTAATTGTGTGCACTATCAAGCAGACCCACAAAACAGAACCATTCCCATCTCATTGAAACTTAACGGCGCATTTTACAATGCATTTTTATGGTGTCAGCCGCTTTATAACACACTATGACAACGGTTCACATTGTTCTCTAGCACCACATCCAAAATTATGGATCAAGATTTAAGGTCACTACAACCAGCTGACACTTACAACTGCAAAGGGGAGTGGAAAATGATTTGAGATGTACAAGTGGGTGAGTGGGAAGTTTGATTTGTGGGGGAGTGATGGGAAAAAGCAATCAGTTTGCAGAGAACATCTAGAAATAAAAGAAAGAAACATTCTGGACAATCAAAAGAACTGAGTAACACAAGAGCTGAAATACAAACACAAGCACACAATTAACAGGAATCAAAAGAGACTGAAAATAGTTTTTCTTGGCAATAGAGAGAGAAAAAACCAGCCTTTTCAAAATCTTGTGCTTTCCTGTTTTTCGAATGTAGCTTGAAAATAGTAAAGACTTGGAAACAACCAAATGGCAATGCTAATGGTGTGTTCCACTTTCCACTAGGATGGCTCCATTTGACGTTAATATCTTCAACACTACTCCAGTGAATATCGGATTGCCTCTCTCCTTCTCCACACCCACCTCTGTTCTTTTCTTCTTCTGCTTCTAGCTTCTTCTTTTATTTCTCTAGCAGTGCTCAACCTTTGAGCCACAAAAGCCCTATCAAGAGCTTTCAAAAATCAATAACAGTATGTCTTATGGAGGAGTGTGTGGAAATTAGAACCTTTAGCATGGAGTGCCTGGGGTCCGGAGGGAATCAATTATTCATTACACAGACCAGCAGGCACGCACACCTCCTGCTGCTCAAAGTAAAAGAGCTAGAATCATAGACATGAGATTCTTCTAGACAAATCATCTAATTCAGATAGATAAGAAAATGTTTAATGGCATGTCAAGTCATTGATCTGATATAGTTAATTAAGAATAGGGGCAAATTAGTCATGCTCGGTTTGTGCACTTATATGTATAATTATGAGCTTTTTACTGCTACTCCTCTCCTTTCTATCGTAGCTTCATATGTGAGGTACTAACATAATCAAAACATAATATGTAAATTTCTGTAAATCAGTAGATATAATGTTTATCTGCTGAGTTGTTATTGGATTCCAATACTAAGTGTAAGCCATGTGTGAAGTTCATATGAACAAATAACACTCTTTTTTCCTGGTGTCTCAAGCAAAAGCCTGGAGGACATGCTGCTTCACAAGTACTCCATCAAAAAGTCTGCCCGGTCCTCTAACAGTTTCCATTATCGGCCTGTGTGTGCTATGTCAAGCCTGTCACTCAGCCGAAGCCTTTATGTCGGGACACAGCAGCGGTGACTCACTGTTGTCAAACTGTTTGGTGGAGGAGTTGACAGAAAAATGGCAACCTTGGGAAGCATGTGCATGCCTGAGATGGAAGCAGACAGTATATCACATCGCAAGCTCTTGTTAGGGCACAGCGTGTGTTGATTTAATGTGTGTGAGTGTGTGCCCATGCACGTCTGTTGACCTCCTCGTGTATCTTCAATATTTGTGTCGTCCACGCACCCACTGTGCGCCCACGAAGACAGCAGACCTAATTGGCTTTCCTGTTGCTGTTTTGATGACTCACACTATGGCACGATGTGAAGCCGTGCTGTTACTGACACCAGTCAGGTCTCATTTATTGATGAGTCACTTATTTAAAATAAACTTTTGTATTCACCGAGCTACCTGCAGTAGAATCTACGTCAGGACGTGCTGCCATTTCCGTCATAATCTTATATAGCACAAATTGTGCTTTTCCGGAAAACATCAAGCAAATTCTACATACTTGATCAAATGCGAAATCAAAATGCTCCACTAACTAGTGAAGGTTAAGCTCTTTAGATGGCTGCACTGAAAAAGAAAGGCAAAAAAGATTAATTTCTACTCATTTCCATTTCAGGTTTTCCTTGAAAATACCTCCACAGCTTAACACTGGGCTTTTAAGCATAAATAATAAACTTTTATTTTATTTTTTTCCCTATTATATTGCTATTTTCATTTGAATCTGATCACATGTTCCACATGAAAAGCCAATCATAAAAACCAGCCATATACGACCATTCTGTGAGGACATAATGAAAATCACATGATATTTTGCACAATGCTATTATTCATTTAACATAATCCAAAAAAGTGCATTTAAATTAATTAATCAGGAAAAAGTGTGAGCACATCTATAAAAGCAAAGGTTTTGGTAGTTTGCTTATGTGGAGCTTTCTGATGTGTGCATTCAGGATTAAAGACATCAGCAATGATCTTAGAGAACCAATTGTTACTGCCCATCAAGGGCATTTCCAAACAATCTGAGATCCATCATTCCACAGTGAGAAAGATTATTCATACGTGGAAAGCTTTCAAGATAGCTCCAAAGTTTCTGAGGAGTGGAAATCACAGCAAATTCACAAGTTTAGACAATGAGTCAACAGGCCCGAAGTTAGCAGGTGAAATGTTAAAACTGGCTTACGTTTGCAAAGTTGCATCTGAACAAACAACAACGCGATTTTGGAACAATGTGCTTTGAACAGACATGCACAATGCCCTATTTGGCAAAAAACGAAACTCAGCATATCAGGACACCTCATGCCAACTGTTAAGCATGATAGTGGAGGCGTAATGATTTGGACTTGTTTTGCAACCACAGGATCTGGGCACCTTATAGTCAATGAGTCAAACCTGCATATATCAATTCTAGCCAAAACTGGGTCACGCAACAAGATTTGATTACAAGCACAGCAACAAAACAACAGAACGGCTAAAAAGGGAAAGAGTCAGAGTGTTGCAATGGACTGAAGTGCTGTCGTGGGACCTTATGAGAGCTGTGCGTAAAGGGACACCTGCAAACCTCAATGAACTGAAGTAATGTTGTAGTTATATGTATCCCAAAATTCCTCCACAATGATGTGAGAGACTGATGATGACTACTGAAAAGGATTACTCAAGCTACTGGTGCTAAAGGTTCTGTAACCTGCTGAATCACTATATGTAATTAGTTTAAATACACTGTTTCTGTATTTCGGCTTAGTTGTTAAAAAAAAAATGGTATAATATATCATGTGATGCTGTTCATCTGAGCTGGAACTAAAATAATTTTAGGACCTGGTAAGGACCAGATGATTTTATATTATTATTATACCGTGATACGTAACCTTAGAAAGAGACCGTGCACTTTCTTTTTACCCTGATTGTATATGATGGACCTCAGTGTCCTTCATTGCAACAAGCATTAACTTTTCAAGGGGGTTAGGTTAAAGCTTTAGATATTAGTAATGTTAAAAGTGCTGCAGAGGACAGTGCTTGGCAATGTATCACGATGAGGTTGGGTGAAGGATAGAGTAAGGCACCATGCTGGCAGGATCACCGCTGTACCCCGCTGTGGGGTAGAAAGGCACACCGAGAGGATAAAAATCTGCAGTGAGTGTGTTTGCTCTGTAATGATCCTGCACTGAAGAAACAGAAAACACATTAGCCACGAGGACTCGCGAGCACTCTGCAGTGATTCTTCGGTGAAATCAAAATAGAAAGGAGCACGAGGCGTGAAACGAAAACACCATTTGTCTTGCTAATTAATGTGCTGCAACACAACACAAGTCACCATCCTCATGGCTCCAAAGTGCATGTGCAAAAGGAGGATTTTTCTCTCATGAAGCATGAACATGGCCGAGAAACAGACAAGTGCCAAAAATAGATCTCCTCATACAGTATTCAGATACATTGTGCGGCTATTTATAGCTCTCCCTTGACTCCAGAATTAGGTTATTTGGGGTTTATTATATAATTACCACTTTGATACTGCCCCCATAAAGCAGCTGTGTCTGCTAAAACCTATGAAGTAACGTAATTGAAACTGCCTAATTATAGATACAAAAAATCCGTCTCATTAGGGAGAGAGGGCACTGATGGAGCCGAGGTAATCACATGTAAGATTCTGAATAGGCATGTGCAGCGAGGTGTTTAGTGGTCCCAGACTCTCTGCTGTAAAATGCGTATCACGCCAGTTCATACATACTTTATTATACCGCTCTGCACTCTCTGAAAGGTTATCTCACATCTCACTGTATAAAATGGGGGCTGCTCTGTGTGACTTTCATGTCAGCAGAAGTTTTGAGGCTAAAGATAAAGAACTATAAATGCTTGTGTAGAGAACACAGCATGCCCATATACAGAAAATGTAGAAAGACCAAATGATAGTCAATTAACTTTTCATGGCAGCATAATGCAGCACAGAAGGCAATCAATGAAAATAATGAAGCAGTAAATGTTTTCCCCGCACTAGACAAACTAGTCGATGGAACGCAGAAAAAAAGGCTGACGTGAACGAACAACAGGGAAACAGCAGTGTTTGGGCTGCAAGTGAGAGTCTGTGTGGATTTGGTCCATGTGAACTGTGAAAACATGGAAACTGGGTGTGTGGAGAAACAGCTCCTCGAAGAGAGCCAGACACTGAACAGTTTAAACGCATCCTGTGGTCAGATCAACTTGATGTGCAAACGATTAGTAATTCGAAAAGCTCACAAGAGCCTGCTGCACCACCTTTTACTTAAGTTTCACTGCCTTTCTCTCATTTAAAAAAAAAAAAACAAGTCTTTTTTAAACTAACAAGCCAAAGATGATCAAGAGGAAATTAAAAAAAGAGCAATCATACATGTTTATTGCAATGCTTAGTTATTGAGTTTCCAATTACAGTTCACAACAGTCAGAAAACAGTAGCTCAACACAATATGAGTCTGGACTGAACTACAACAGTGATCAGCTGATTTAATTAACTGTAACTCAATCCACAGCCTCAAGGCCAGGGACGTCTCCAGAATTTCTTCATAGCCATATGTATAGGCCATAGGCCATATGGGCACCACCAAAAATATTGTGGTGGCACACCAAAAGCAAAACAGTACAGGAGTGCCGGAGGTGATGGGGTGATGACTATAAATTGTGAGGGACCTACAAAGTGACACAATATGAATGACAAAAATCATATATGCAGTAATAAATAAATTATTTATTCCGCTACCAAGGACCCCCCTTGGTAGCGCCCCTGCTCGTTCCATGGATATAAGAATGATTCAGACCTCATTTAGCTTGCATTCCCTTCCTCTATTGTTCAGAGCCTTTTTTCTTTGTATTCAGGTGGTGACCTTCTGGGCTGATGTTGGAGATCGTTGCACTGGATCTAATCTCAGTTTCCTCACGAGTGTTACGCAATCAATTGCAATACATAGAGGCACATGTAACAGAAACAATAGTAGGACGTTGTTACTCACTCTGTTCACACCATTGGGGCTGTGTATAGTGAAATCAAAGCAGACGTGTTTGTTGTGTTGTCATCAGCTGAGCTGACATACAGTCATAACCTTGATTAGTTTGTAAAAGCTCAGCGGCAAAACAGGAGCCAGCTGCTATTAAGCATTTTGGCATGACTTTCACTAATTATGTCGAAGTACACATTTCAGTTTTAAACAATTTTAAATACTTTTAATCCATATAATTTCTATATTTCCCTACTTTCCAGCATGCTATAGATTCTGTGAGTGGTGGAGTGAGGCCTACTGGAGACACATTGTACAATTCCAGTCACTGGGACCTGGGCAGTGCCTTCTTCTTCGCTGGAACTGTCATTACAACTATCGGTAAAACTATTAGATAATGCTCTCTTTGTTACTCTAAAACACGATGAACCTGGTATTGCTGACAGTCCATGCAATTTTCATTGTACGTGTGAACCATCAAAATTCATTTTGAACTCAATTTTAACAATCTAAGAATAATGTAGACTGAGGCGAACCTCAAATCTCATAAAAAATACATGCACGAGGTACTCTCAAAAGCACAGTCTTCATTTATACAGCGCGAACAGATGTAAGAGGATGTACGAGAAGGAAAAGTTTGTAGTAGTGAGGACTACTAAATGGCATCAATGTTAAGCCTTGCCATTCTTAAGTATATATGAGAGAGAGGGAGTCCCATTCACAAGAATTCAGTCTGATGTCATTTTGTTGAAGATGTATGTGAGACCTGACTCATTATTCAGTGTATGATGAAGACACTGTTGAGTTTGTTTTTTTTTTTTAAATTGTCTCATTTTGCCCTTTCTTGCTTTTTAAAGAGAAACAGTAAATTGTGACTCACTGAAATTCTTTTAAAAATGAAAGTAAAAAGACTTTGGGTACCTGGCTTTGATATACAATCACAAAATCAAAGCTGAGGCACTACTGTTTGTATTCCCTCTATCAGCTGTGGGTACCATCCTTTAGGTGACTGGAAAAACAGCATGTCCCCGACCTCCTTAATGGTGTAGTCTAGAAATTTAATTAACCTGGTAGCTTGCTTCATTTAATCTAGTGCACAAATAGAAGATCAACAAAAATATCACCCCATAGGACCCCCTCCATTAATAAAAAAAAGCAAATTATATGTATTTTTATTTAAGGGAAAAAGAAAATATTTGAGAGGACCTTCAAAGATAGCAGGATACGATCAATATTAATTAGACATTCTACAGAAACAAAAACAGGGAGGCTTTAACTCTACAGATAAACAGGATAAAATTGAAGCCTCCTTAAGGACATCATCTTTTTCCTTTTATCTATTATGAAAATAGAAAATAGATAAAAAATTGAAGACACTCATTTTAAAATTATATGAGCAATATATATACTGTTAATGTGTTTCTCTTAAAGAGACTGAAATTTGAAATAGATCCTTGCATGCTTTCTTTTTCTGATGCTGAAGCCATTGACTCCATTTTTTTAAAACTAATATACTTTTCTGATCCAATATCCACAATTAGAAGTAAAAAGCAATGAGAGGTGGCTTAAGACTTGTGTGTCTCCTGCCTCACTGACGCTCCTCAAGCTCCTTCTTTTTACCTCCCTGTATCATAGTATGTCATTATTAATTCAATTTTCTTTAAGGGGAATCTAATTATTACTTACCTCAAGCCCTGCTCCTGGAACTGAAAGGTATTACATAAGGGCTTCAATTGATTATGTTGCATAAGGAGGTCTTGATTGTCTTCTGCTTCTCATCTTACCACTCACTCTTCTCAGCCCTGCTTTGTTTTTTGACCTTCCTGTCCTGTTTCTTCATTTCTTCTCCCCTCCTCCTCCTCCTCATTCTGCTTTCAATTGTTCAACAGGTTACGGAAACATAGCTCCGAGCACGGAAGGCGGGAAAATCTTTTGCATCCTTTATGCCATATTTGGCATCCCTCTCTTTGGCTTCTTGTTGGCGGGGATCGGAGACCAGCTGGGGACCATCTTTGTAAAAAGCGTCTTAAAAGTTGAAAAGATATTCAGGGTGAGATACAAGTAACACATTGTGATGTTTTCTTCTTTACTGGCTGTGTAAAAAAGTCAAATATGCAGATATCATTCTAACATTTAGCTGCATTTTTATTCTTACCCTAATGGCATATGTAATGGTGTCTTCTTTTTTGTTTGTGAGCCATGTCTCATTGCTTTTTGTGGCTCACACTGTCACTCTTACATCATCTTTTTAGTTGCTTATATTGGTTCTAAATGCACCTCCTGTTCTTTTCAGCAAAAACACAAGCAGATTAGCCAGACGAAGATAAGGGTCACATCCGTTATCCTGTTCATCCTGGCTGGCTGCATTGTCTTTGTCACCATCCCTGCTGTCATCTTCAAACACATTGAGGGCTGGACCACACTGGATGCCATCTACTTTGTCGTGATCACGCTCACTACAGTGGGAATAGGAGACTATGTGGCAGGTAGAGCTACGCTCCAAAATTCGGGCACAGTAAGCTGTTCTGTTGAAGTTTTGGGCTTAATTTCTGACCATAACGACATTTTCCTTCCTCTTCAGGTGGAAATCGCAAGATCGACTACATGAAGTGGTACAAGCCTCTGGTGTGGTTCTGGATCCTCATAGGTTTAGCGTACTTTGCAGCCGTCCTCAGCATGATCGGAGACTGGCTCGAAATACTGTCTAAAAAGACCAAAGAGGAGGTAAGTCTTGTATATGTATTATTTTACAACTCTACTCTGGATCTGAAGGTTCAGAGGCAGCATCTTATATGTTATAATTATTAAAATATCTATAGTGAGTTAAAAATTATCTGTGGTTTGCATCTCAATTTTTTTATTTTTAGGATCTCACTACGGTGCTGCAGTATTCAGAATTAAAAGCCTTCTTATTTTTCTTGTATTGTCTTGTTCTTCCATCTCTTAAAGACTTCAGTCGCACAGGCTTAGAGACCAGGTGGCATCCCCCTGGCATAGCAGTGTTTCACTATGGAAAAATATGTATTTCCCCAAGCGGTTGGTAATGTTTGCTGGAGGTTGCTGTGTGTCACTAATTAAAATCTGTTATAAAGAGGGTGCTGCACCAAAAACCTCCTTGTGATATCTTTGGTTGATTGCAGATTTCCACCAACATCTGTAATTTTGCAAACCCTCGCCATTTACTCTCTGAGCTGTGGCGTGACTGTAAAAAGTTTGATGGACACTGGAAGCAGAGACTATTTGGCTTCAATGTTAAAAAGATATAAAACAACACATTTCAGAGAGACATTTCAGAAAGACTTAACTTTTATTTTGAAGGCAGATGCTTTCTCTTTTCAATATGTTCCACTTTTCAGTGGGTGTTTGCAAATGTTTTCACTCTATCAACTTCCAGCAACCCGCCAGCAACCAATCAGCAACCAACAAGTGGATATGCATGTTTCCCTAGTGACCCTTCTCTTTAAAAGCATCTCGTCTTTTCGTGAATATTTAAGCAAATCAATGTTAACCTGATGCCAGCTGGGCGTAAGAGTAAGAAGAATAATTGGAAATGAAGCATTTAAAGCAAGGGCAATGAAAATGGGGCATAGGTCAATTAGGGATACTGTTGCTAATCTGTATATTATCCTTTAACTGTTGCTTTGTTTCCATGTTCATATTTCATAGGTTGGGGAGTTTAAAGCACATGCTGCTGAATGGAAGGCAAATGTCCGAGCAGAGTTTCGTGAAACTCGACGGCGTCTGAGTGTTGAGATCCATGACAAGCTCCAGCGGGCTGCCACCATCCGTAGCATGGAGCGCCGTCAGCTTGGCCTAGAGCAGCGAGCTCACTCCCTTGACATGCTGTCACCAGAGAAACGGGCTTTGTTCGCCAGTCTGGATGCTAGCCGCTTCAAGACGTCCTCCCAAGAGAGCATCGACAGCAAACTGAACAACCTGAGGTTGAAGGGGGCATGCGAGCCGTACGATCTTCAGGGAAACGAGCAAACGCAAGAGACCGCATCATCTTCAGAGGAAAATCTCTTCAACCTACGATTCGGATCCCTCAGTAAGCTGGCCAGGCGCAACAAGAACCGTGAACTGCGGAGGAACATACCTGAAGATGTTCGGCGGGCAAGTTTAAGCATAAACAATAGCAGCGCCATGCTCGGGGAGGAGAGAACGGAGGAAGAAGAAGATGGTGAGCCAGATGAGGAAAACAAAGAAAGAAAAGAGGGAAACACCAGTCTGACAAACCTCTCACAGTACACAATGGAGCGCTCAAAGTTGAATGGGTTCACACCGGCACTGGCCAAAGACAGTGAGAATAATTAAGTATTGAATGCACAAACACTTCATCCACATACAAGGAGTGTTGAGACAGGAAGAGTGAAAGATACTCAGACTGGGAGAGTGCACAGTCCTTTGAGATGTCAAGAAATGTGCCTTTCTGTTTCCTATGCTTAGATTGGAACTGCTCCCAAGAAGTCAGTCATCATGCCATAGCTATGGGAAGAAAATGTGTTGCCAAAAATGAATAAAACTAACGGTGCAGAAGAGGGTGCAGTAGAAATACCTCATTGAGATGTTGCTGTTAAATAGGCTACTTAAGAACTTTGATTTCTACAGGAGCAGTATTGAACAGCTCTGTTGCTTTTTTTAGCCCTCAAGGCTCTTCTTCCATCTGTTCATGCTGAATCGTATTTTTTTTTAACAATGTGGGCAGGACCGTTTGAGAGCTAGATTCATGCCATTCATTCAGTAATATTATTGATCTATGGGTTGTCATCTCATACTCTAGGGGTCTATTTTTAGCCCAGCAGCATGCTACAAAGTGACTTTAATATTTATCAAACAGAGGAAAGTAGGTTGTGTTTTTGCTGGATCACCAGGCAGTATTTACCTAGATGACATGTAGAACTGTTGCTACATTATGTTTGGCTTTGAAAATGTAGCCTGATGCGAAAAACTACAATATGTTAACAGCTTGAAAAAACAATCTGAAGTGCATGGTACCAACCATAACCATTCATTGCTGGCATAAACTAACTGGAAAGCTTGAATTTGCAGCTATCATAATGAGCAAAATACACTTCTTTCATTACTACTCTTCTCTCAACAGACAAACAATGTGTCTCTGTAATGATTGTTACCATTTTCTGAATTGTGAATCAACACAGACAAACATACACAAACGCAGACTGTCGGTAATGTAAAACACAATTGCATTTTTTTAATGACATTCAAATGATCACAAACACATGGAGAGTGTTTGGATGGATTTTAATTGATGAATGTGATGCTGTTAATTTGTATTCGCCAAGCATGTTTACATCTATGTTTACTTCTTTTTTTAAATCACCCAAGTTGTATTTTTCATTGAACTGTAAAATATACTGAACGTGTTTCTTTTTTGTATTGCTTTTTTAACAACACAACTCACAAAGCATCTTGACACTGCTATGTGTAGACGGGGGCATTTCTTAAAATTTTAGTCCATTTTCACTTGATTTGTATTTTGCAAACATTTACTGACACTCAAAAACAGCTTTAAATTTTACAGGATTAAATGTACCACTGTTGTACTTTGCATGCGTTCCTCAAGGTGGACATTACACACACACACACACACACTGATTGTTCCAGTAGCCTGCTTATCTGATAGCATTAACCTTTCCATGACCCTAACCTGTGACACACTGAGCAGCTGTTTGTTGTGTACAGTTTATTTTTGTCACATTAAATGTAGTGAGTGCCTTTTTAAAACAGAATAAATGAACAAAACATAAGAGGTATATTCATTATGTAAGTACTCACAGAAAATGAATGCAGTATTGACAAAATTTGGACTAAGATAAATTAGAGCCTGACCAATTTATTAATGGGCCAGTATTATAGACAATACATAATGTCATCTTTTATTACCTTTCACAAAAAGGAAATAAAAGATGAGAGAAACACCCTTCAACCATGTCGCGAGTGTTGACATTGCATAATTTGTCCACCAGAGGGCACACTGTAACTTCCCTTATGACGAAGCAACGTGTTTGGAAGGTAACGACCATGTGATCCGAGCAAAGCTGGATGTAAGCAAGTAAATATGTTTATATATGTAAATATATATATATATATATATATATATATAAAATATGTAAATATGTTTAGATGATTGGAATATCAGATTTTCACATCAACAAATATCAGTACTGGTCTTAAAGATCCTAGATTGGTCAGGCTCTGGATTAAAGGTAGCCATATAAACATATAATTCAGCCATTCTTCTTCTCCTCCATAATGTGCTCCTTACCACATATTCTATTGATAACTACAGTTAATGAAGCTTGCTTTAAAGGTTTTGCACCAATAAAAACAAAGTAATAGAAGCACTATTGTGATAACTACACAATAGTGCTTCTGATTTCTGATTTCTGAAAGCTGGACTTTTTCTTTTTCTTTTTCTTTTTAGCTTACTGGAATAAAAAATAAAGAGTGAAAATGGCAGTGTGTGAACACCAACAGCCTCATCAACACTGCTGATTTACTATTTTTCTTCTTTTCATTTTTTGACAGTTCTTATTTATAATATACAATATATATTTAAGTTACATTTTCTTATTTCCATTTAACATTTAAACTTTTTATTATAATTGTTTAAATAACATATGTAATGATAGTGAATCTTCCTCTGTGAAGCTTTTTGCAGTTATTATTATGCACAGAGCTTAACAAATTTATTTAACCACCATCAAATGTGGGGTTTACGCCAAAGTTGCCCTAATTAACGGCACAAAATAATTTTCTTCTGTTTCTGTAATTGTCGGTCTATCAGTGTGCACAAGTTCTTTCATTCAAATTATGAAATTCATTTGATATATATAAATATTCAAATATTTTTAATGCTAAATATAATTATTATTGTTGTCCACAAATGTTCAAATGTACTGTTTAACAAATAGCATAAACAATAGTAAAGCACAACACATTATTTTCAAATTAGGATGTCAAATTACAATTTTTTACAGAACAGAAACTGCAGTTTTAGGCACTGAATAATTTTTTGTCCTTTGTGCTGATTTATGTTTGGGCATTCAGTTTTATTTGCCTTAATAAATAAAACAAAACTTTTAAACTAGTTTTTGACAAATTTCTAAAATGTTTGTATATATTGTTTTTACGATGGGTGGTTTAATACAACACTATTTCAGAAAAGTGTTGCAGAAAACTGAAGGCCATGGTCTTCATGCACATGCACCCTGCTTTAAAATAGCTGACAGCCCTAAAAAAGAAAGAAAGAAAGAAAGAAAGAAAGAAAGAAAGAAAGAAAGAAAGAAAGAAAGAAAGAAAGAAAGAAAAGAAATGCCATGGAGACAGGTCAGTGAAGAAAGAGAAATTATCTGCATTTAACAATTGGTGTTATCTGTGGAACTTTCTTTCAGATAGTGATGTGACCTCATCCTGCTGCACTCCTTTTCTCTTTTGTCTTTCATTGTCTCCCTGTCCCCTTATCTCAATGGCTTTCCTACACATGATGAATCACCAGCAGATTTTAATCTCACTCTTGAACATTATTGCCCTGTGTCATTCATTAGTCTACTTACTAATGTGTTCAAACAATTAATCAAAGTTGTCTATATTGTAGAGGACGGTGAGCTCATTTGATGGACGCGTCTGTGTGTGATTGAGCTGGTAATGAAAATGCCCTACAGTAAAACTCACAAGCCAAACATATAAAGTTAGGTATGTAAAATCTGACACAGCAAAAATGCTAGAAAATAATATGCAGCATACTTTCACCCCACACACACTTACAACACGAGAGAAACAAAATCGAACTCAACATAAAACTATAAAAAAGAAAAGAAAGCAAAGAAAAAGATCCTCATATTGTCTCACTTTTAAATATTATAATATTTTTAACAAATTCTTAACTTTGTGTCTCAATTGAATATAATGAGGATCTGACGTGGGTACGGCAGCATGGTATACATGTACACGCTAAGGTTAATATGCCAAGTCACACATAGAAAACTGGATGAATAAAACACAATTTACCAAAACACAGTGGGACATAATAACTTTACAGTAATTTTACATTGACTCTTGGAGGGATCAGGTCACTTCCTGAAAGTAAATTTTATTTCTAAAGCTAAAGTAAAACTAAAGTGCTTTAAACTCAAAGAAAGAAAGAAAGAAAGAAAGAAAGAAAGAAAGAAAGAAAGAAAGAAACAAAGAAACAAAGAAAGAAAGAAAGAAACAAACAAACAGTTTCCCCCAAAATTAAATAAATAAGTAAACGTTCTTAGCGTGATGCTTACATCTACTGACAGTATACTTCTAAATCTCATGATGAGTGGATTCTTAAATCTGGCTTCACCCAAAGGCCTCCTTTGTCTAAATGGTCCTAAAGGTAGGTAAGAATAAGGTTGTGGGGATGTTTGACTTTGATGTCTATTGAACTGATATGTGATTTGTCATTTTTATCCCTCAGAGTCAAACAGTCATGATGCTGCATAATTAAGAGTTAAGAGTAAATATCATGGTTAAATGATATACCTTTGCCAAGCTTGTGGCTCTGTAAACTGCTACACCTCATTTCCTGTTCTGCTGCCCCTATAATGGAAACTAGATGGCGCAGTCAGGGTTAAATTCATTGAAGGTTAAATTGAATTTGCACACACAACTGTGTTGTTTGTTTTTGATGCTGCAAACATTAATGAGTGGGACTAATGAACATCCAAGCTTTTAAACCTTTCCTCATGCCAAAAGCATTTCTTATGGCTTCAGTTTTCCCTCATGCACAATGACATTTAAGGAGACTGTGACTGATGTCATCCATCAGCGTTAGAGCGTGCATGAATGTCCATGAGAGCATGCGTATCCCATCCAAAGCGGCCAATAACATGCGTGGGCACACATCCTTATCTGAGCAAGGGTAATCAATGGGAGGATAGCGGGTCTGAAATAAATTCACACACTGTTGTAAACAGATCCAGAAGATGGATTATAATGGAGAAATCTGCTCAGTTTCCTTTCCGTTTGCAGATGTTTAAAATGACCATGAATGACTCACAATGAAAGCATCAGTGGAGGTCAACACTTTCCCTATTTATTTATCATATCTTTACAGTCATTTACAAAGCAAATCTGCAGTCTAGACTGCGGCTTTTCTCCAACTTAAAATTTTGCCCAGCAAGCTATGTGACAGAGACAGGCCTGCCTCATGTTCATTATTCAGAATGGTTGGAATATCTATGACATTTTTGGTAATTTCCCAACAGCATGAGTGAGAAGATAGAAGTCACATTACTATAGCTAACACAACCTAAATTGTAATAATAACTTTTCATAAAAGCTTACAGTACAGTGTATTTAGCCTTCTATTTCTGGTCTGACATTTGGACTAGCAAAAAGAAAAATTCCCAATAGTGATGTGTGAGAATATTATCACCAGATGGCAGCGTACTACATCTTGTGCTACATTATCTGTAGACCAGGTGCAATGCACAGGCACAGATAAATGCTAATTAGTAACACGCAAGTGAAGTAGGAGAATTTCACCCACCATGAGCACAGACTTCCTGGATGAGCTGTCAGGACAATGAACTGCACATCATGCCAAATTATTTGTGAGATAACTGCAGTACAAACTCTCCAAAAAGCACAATGCTACAAAGCTTTTAAAACGGGAGTCCATTGACTCTGACGCTATAATAATGCTCTCCACGTTATGAAATAAAAATGTTTACAGATTAGAGAAATTATTTTAAGTGACAATAACTGGCTAATTTTAACTGAAATGCCAGCTAGACGGATCCTCAAGTCTATGTTGGTGTAAGTGCACTCTGTCTCCTAATTTAAATGCTGCATTGACGAGCAAATTTCATTTTACTTAAACTCAGTATGATTAAACCAGAAGATAAAAACAAACAAAAAAAAATGTGTAGGCTTAATGGAAGTGAAAACAGCAAAATAAAACTTTAAAAAGAAGCAAACCACCACTGAACATTCACACACACCTTCAGCACAATTTAAATTTGGAAACTGCCCCTGATGACCTGAGAGGCCTGATTGGTTATAGACACTGAGAGAGTCAGAGATGTATTTGGGGACCAACTTCTGTATTGAACTGGGAACCTACCAAGTGACTTCAATACTGGGGTAATGTGGAAATTACTGTGTATGTGCCATGATTCTGGCTGCAGCATGCAGAATTCTTTGAAGTTTTGGATAATTCTGCAAATAGACCTTTACAGTAGTGTAACTTGCTTAATATAAATACACGGAACAATTTCTCATAGTTACTATTAGAGCAGACTTATCTAACTTTTGATATATTTTTAAGTGATAGAAAGCAGCTATGGCAACCTGAGATCATGGTCCAAAACAATGCCATGGTTTCTGACTTGAAAATGATATGCAGAATTTAATTCCCAAAAAGCAATTCATTCAAATTTTAAAGCGCTAAATTTATCACAGTGAGTAACCAATACCAGCTAAAGGAATATGCAAATTTTCCAACATTTGAATTGCTGGTTGTTTCCTCTAACACGCTTTCATATGAGACAAAAAAAACCCAACCAAACAAAAACTACTATTTGATAGATATTTCATATGTTGCTCATATATCAAATATGTAGTTTATACAAACAAAGTTTCACTTCAAGGAAAGAAACAGAATTTCATCAAATACATTAAACTAATACATAAAGAGGGCTCCACTACAGTACTCATAGGTTGTTTCCCCTACTTGAACATGTGATTATATCTTGCCTCCGGGCT